GGTGGCTGGATGTGGAAGTAATTGGGGAAAAATCGTGCCTGCGCTCGCTGTTTTGGATGAGAATTGGGGCTGTTTCCAGCAGTCGGTGGGTAGGCGATGGTCGGAGGTTGTAGAGGGAGGTGTGGGAGTGTCGGTGGTGTGGGGTCCGACGGCTTCGGTGGCGGGTGGTGTTATGGATGGAAGAAGGCAGGGGATTCGTAGCTCAAGGAAGGATTTTAGGGGAAATGGAGAAGGATGTGTTCCCGTGTTTTCATATTTTAGCGTGTTTTGGGAAGAAAACGTTCAAAATGCTGTTTCAGACGTTTTGAGTTTTCAGTAGAAATTTTTTTTGTTTTCAAAAATTCATTTTCGAAAACGGGAAAGAGAACGCGTTTTCATTGTTTTGAAAAATCGAAAATAGAAAACGATCCGAAAACAGCAAAGAGAACGGGGCCTTAGCTTTTGGGAGCACTACTCCGTAAAAGAACTATGCTCGAACGAGGTTGAATAGTAGTTTTATTCTCAAACAGAACAAGATTTGGACACGAGTGGCCAGTCAATCAGCGATGATATGTGGTCCCGTTAACTACTTGGGACGACCTTCCCCATCAACAACGATCATCAACAAATGACTCTCGACCTTTGTCTCTTTCCATAAATATTGAATGTCATTCTATTCGATTTCCTTTGAACTACAATTATCACCAGCACCATTTCCTCGAGCAGTAGTGAATGCTAATTGACGCACTTATTGGCACGACTTGTCTTGAATCACACCAATGGACTCAAGCTGTGACGTGCACCGATGTATGTTAGACCCATCATCAAAGCTGACTGCAATTATTATTCTTGTGATCGCAATCAATCTGAGTGGTGAATTTGGCTGTTACTTGTCATTTATTATCGATGTATATCGCGTTTCAAGTCCTTTGATTCAATTTTTGAGAAAACGGGAGGTTGTGGCGGCAGCTAAGACCGAACACTGCTGTCGACAGTCAAATGTGATTTACATTACATTCAGAAAAAGCAGAAAAGGAAGACTGGAGACAAATCCACGATTATCAAAACATAGTGATTTTTTTTTTCTCATTATGACTAGTATCCTCTTGTGGGTCCCATCTCAGATTTATCTATATTTCTAATCATGTATTCTTTAAAAATCACTTTTAAAAAGAATCAAATTACCAAACATGTTCCATAAATGTTGAGACACAAATTAATATACTTAGCTTGATCGCATTCCACGTGTCCCTAGTACCCATATTGGGACCCACATGTTGTCGGTTTGTCCTTTGGCTAAGTCTTGTTTGTCCCCCACTCAATTCTCAATCTTTTAAGTTACGACATCATTAGAACACTTCTATTTTTCGCGATAATTTCAAATTCTCCCCCAAGTTACTACGTTAAAGTTACCTTTTGCCCTTTTTATAGTTCGATAGTGCATATTGGCTTCAAGGGGAAGCCTTTTTTTTTTTCCCCATTAATTTTTCCCCTGTTCGTTGCAAATTATTTTAACATAAAAATTGATTTTTTTTTACCATTTTTTTCAAAACATTGAGACCCACTATGAGAGAAAGAGGTCAAAGATTGCGGTTACATTACTGTAGCAACGGTAGGAATTCTGCTTAAAAGTGGAAACAAACAGGGGCTTATTTTTTAAGACGGAGGAGTGACTTTGGTTAGTCCTCATTTGGCTATTGTTATAATCGGTATATTCACAAATAATATTCATTTTTACTTGTTTATGGGTATGTTCTATTTTGTTTTTAAAATTTTCATCTAAAGCACTATAAAGTAGATATATTTTATTTTGCTTTTAAGCCTCTGTTTGGTATCTATTCTTTTTTTCATTCTCATTCTTCTACTAATTTTCAACCACACATTCATCAATAAAATAATATTTTCCATCACATCAATAACTTTTCCTTCATTTTCAACCACAAAAAAAGTGTGATTTAACACAACGCATGCATTCTTTTCTAGAATAATGGTTACCAAACGGTGCCTTAAGTTAAAANAGATATATTTTATTTTGCTTTTAATTAGCAAACAACATTATTTTCTGAAGTATAAAAATGTTCTATCAGTGTTTATCTTTTACTTCTTTTAGTCGAATTTCAATAAAGTAGAAAAGAAAAAAAGGAAATTTTCTATTTTTGAGTCAATATGAATAAGAGAGGTGCAATTTTTACATTATGTTTTTATACTAGCAAAAAGAAGAAAAATATCAAGAAAATAAATTGAGAAGCAAAATATCGAGACGATAAATTGGAGTTCCTTGTTAGTTCAGACAATGGTTGATTGTTTAGTCGATGTAGGAGAAGTCTACGATGGAATGTGGCGCACAAAGCCGACATCTTGGACCCACCTATTCCCATAACTGCCTTCCACCCACCACCCCAACCCCACCAAAAACGCCCTTTTCTCTCTGAACCAAAAAAGTTTACTTTCTAATATGTCTGCAAAGTTTTTAATGGAAAATACACTTCTTGGCGGTGGCGGCGGTGGGTGAAATTTCTGGTGGTAGGTCAACTGTATCAAGGGAAGAAAAAACATGGCTATGTCATCTGAGGAATCTTGTTCATACCCAGATGAGTCAAAGTTGGAGTTAGGCCTTGGCCTGAGTCTTGGTGGCGGTAGCGGTGCAAAGTTGAAGTTTAAGCCTTCGCCGACGGCAGTGGCGGCGGCGGGTCCTTGGGGTCAATATGCTAGAATCTTGACGGCTAAAGATTTTCGCTCTGTGGTTTCTACTAAAGAATGTTTATCTTCTTCATCTTCATCTTCATCTTCTTCCGTGACAAAAGCTAATAACAATCCCTTCTGCGGGGTCAAAAGAACTGCTGAACCTTCTTCACCACCCGGCCGGTCTGGCGCAAGGTAATAATATAATCGTTTTTTATCTGATTTTGTGAATATTGAGTTTTTTCGGTTCACAATTTTGGATAATGGAATGTGTGTTATATGATTTATGGAGTTTTTAGAATTCCTATTTTTGATTTGGATTTTATGTTATTCCCTCTAAATTTGCTGTTCTATTGTACATGATATTGATTCTCAAAGAATCTGATGCCTGAAGAATAGAATATTGCTTATATTTCTCATAAAAGGTCGAGAGCCCGGATAAACGAGGAGTGTAGTAGTAGGTTGATAATTGATATAAAACTTTGTCGGATCTTTTATGACATAAATCCTAATCTGTGAAATAGAATTCATGTAAACTTGTATCTCCATGTCACTAAACTAAGGCACACGAAAAGCAAATTCAAATCAAGCAAGGTTGATTTCATCTGAATGTGATAAGAATTTCTGGCGTTGTGATTAATTGAAATCAATTCAAGACCTTAAGAGATTCTTTGATATTAGCTATCCCCTAGTTCATCAATCTTTACTTGATGAGGCATTTTTACTTTAAGAGCTCTTTAACTGACGCTGAGAATTGGATTTGTTAAACCTTTAATGTATTTAATTGCACTCACTTTCCTTATCTCGTAATGGCCCCTGAGATTTCAGATTACTGACGTGGAAACGACACTTCCTTCAATTCGTATCTGTTTCTGGAAATTGGAAACTAACAAATACATAATTTGTTAACTGAATCTAATTATATACATATCTATTGCTTGTCATGTCAGTATTGTTTTTATCCTAGGAGATTTGGTAATATCTGCAACTGAAGTAACGAGTGCCATTACGATGTGTTTTTTTCCTATTTGTATTTTATAATCACTATCAGTGTTTGTTTGAAGAACTGTAATTCAGCTGCTTAAAATTTTGAATAAATTAATCTATTTATCTTTGCTCGTGCAATTTTATGAAAACAGCCAGGTTGTTGGATGGCCTCCTATAAGAACTTACAGAATACAGAGCTTGGTAAACCATGCAAAATCACCAATGACTGAAGAAATTACCTCGGTCGTTGATAAATGTAAAAGCAAGAATACTATTGTGGACAAGACAAATTGTGGTAGCACCTTGAACAGAAATGTTGCTAAGGAAAAAGGGCTTGTCAAAACTTCCTTGTTTGTGAAGGTGAACATGGACGGGATCCCAATTGGAAGAAAAATAGATCTGAGTGCCCATAGCTGCTACGCGACTTTATCTCAAACACTGGACGACATGTTTAAACTAAGTGCAGTAGTTGGTGCAAGACGTAAGTTCCTAATTTTTCATATAATATAGAGCTAATATTGGGGTGAATCACTGTAAACTTGTGTGTTCACTTTGCGTGTTTCTGATTTTCGTGAGGCTTATTATTGCTTTCGTAATTTGGACTAGGGCTTAATCCATAACATTATAGTTTCACTTTCACGTCCTTTCAATTTGTGAAGAGCTTTGCAAAACAATGTGCTTGTTAAACCTACTATTGGTCCCATGCCACCCACCCTCAGGTCCTGCACCAGCCCTCCCCGACATTTGTTTGTTTAAATTATGTATACCCCCGAAGAAAAATATAGATAAAGAAAAACTGTTGAACTCTTCAAAAGTGATGTGTAGATTATAGGTATGGTCTTCCTTAACTAATGCAAAACCAACAATCATTTTACGGGTGCTTAAAATATGCATGCTTACAGTGAACTTCCTTAACCGATTCTGATGCTTTGTCTGATGCTTTGTTGAAAATTAGGATCAAATGCAGAGGAGCAAGTTGTAAAGACAAGACCTTCGACATTGCTGAATGGTTCGTCTGAGTTTGTGCTCACCTATGAAGACAAAGAAGGAGACTGGATGCTCGTTGGAGACGTTCCTTGGGAGTATGTCCCTTTGACTTCACATAATAAATAATTTCTGACTGATATTCTGCATCTCTATGCCCAGTTTATGTCTTCGTCAAAAACATTAAAATAGAAGGAAAAATTTATGTTGATATCTTTAAATTGAATGTTTCCTCTATATAGTTTCTAATGAACGTCGTCGTGTTTATATTGACAATACCATGGCTACTGTGATATTATCAGGATGTTTCTTAGCTCAGTGAAGAGGCTTAGAATCATGAGGACAGCTGAGGCTAATGGACTTGGTATGTTGACACTAGCTTATGCCCTCTTGTGCTTATAAGTTCGCTTTAAGCCACCCCAAACCTGTCTCCAACAGCATAAGCTTATAACTGAGGTTATTCAACAATGTCTTCTTGCCTTTTATACGTCTCTTCTTGATTGCAGCCCCAAGATCTAACGAAACGAACCGGACACAGTCGATGGCACAAATATAAATTATGTTCCAAATCTTGTTAAGCAGAATGAAGAACAGAAAGATAAATAGAGATGCTGTGTGATCGAAGAATTTTGTTGAGGCAACCTTCGGTTTTGGTCGTCTTTGCTTGTATGATTTTGGTCACTTTTTATCATGCTATACACTTTCTACACATTACATACATGCCACTCTCTGAGGGAGTGTATTGTTATACAAAACATAAGTGCTAGTTTTTCGGGACATTGGTACACATCCTGCACTGGAAGTGATTGTACCTATGGGAGTTTCTGGTGGTTTTGTTCTGATTTTTCTGCACCCACAAGCTATTAATCTTAATCTTCGTTAATGAAAGAATACATGAGTGGTTTTTGTGCACGAGCCTGTTGGGATGGTGCTGTTATGTTATATCGTTTGTTAAATTTCTTTCTTCCTCAAGATATATAGTAACTTTCAACAACGAAAAAAGTAACAAGAACTCGAGAATAATTTGGTGTATTGAACTTAAAATGTGCTTAAATGCCACATGAAAGGTTGGTTTGCAATTTTTTTTCTGTTTTGGATGCAGGCACCTTGGCTCAATAATTTTACGTTCATGACAAAAATTACAGTGTTATTTGCAAGAGAGAGGCTATATCTCTCCGAATAGGCACAAGATTTCTGAACCTATTAGACAAAAACTAGATACAAATCAAAAACTAGAAAATAATAATGGCCTGGAAGGAATGCAGAATACGTTCTTAAAGAATGCCGTCTACATGCGATATGCTAAATACTGGCGTATCTTGGTTAGCAGAATTTCCTCCATTGTTGCTAATACTTTTTCTTCGAGGTTTATCCTCTCCGAGCATTGTTAGAACATCCTGCATGGAAGGTCTATCCTTGGGGACCTNGCGTATCTTGGTTAGCAGAATTTCCTCCATTGTTGCTAATACTTTTTCTTCGAGGTTTATCCTCTCCGAGCATTGTTAGAACATCCTGCATGGAAGGTCTATCCTTGGGGACCGTGGCTGTACAAAGTATGGCTATTCGTAGGACTAATAACATCTCTTCTTGAACATGTTTAGTGTTTCCTGCAGTTGGATCTAGAGCTTCTTCTAAAGATTTATTGAGCATTTTTCTGCACATCCATCCTACAAACAAAGATTCTCCGAATTCAGGGTCCAATGGCCTTCTCCCTGTGAGGAGTTCCATTAGTACTACTCTGTAGTTATAAATGTCACTCTTCTCGTCAACCGTCAACGAGTATCCATATTCTATCGAGCAATTGTCAAGATAAATGATGGTTAGTTGTACTCGTATTGATAATTACTAAGGGTCTATTTGACAGGACTTTTGAAAAGTAAAAAATTGCTTTTGAGGCTAAAGAAACTGTCTTTGGGTCATTTGGATAATTTCCTGAAAGTACTTTGTATGATTAGAATGGCTTATGAAGAAATTTGGTCTAAAGTAGCTTCACCAGGAAACTCTTCAACAAAAAGCAGAAACAGAAGTTATCCCAAACAAATCCTGAAGTTCAAGCAATATAACTGATAGATGAACAGAAGAAGAAATCATATGGTAGCTCACCAGGGGCTATGTATCCGTATGATCCTGCGACCACTGAGACTGTTTCGTTCTTCTTAAGCGTCAGTTTTGCCAGCCCGAAATCAGCAACTCTTGCCTCAAGATTGGCATCGAGCAATATGTTGTTCGACTTAACATCCCGGTGGATTACTGGTGGAAAACAATCGTGGTGGAGGTAAGCAAGTCCCAGTGCAACTCCAAGCGCTATACGTGAAACCCAATATACAAGCAACCTTCCGGCTTGTTTTCCATGTAAAGCTTCTCCAAGGCTACCGTTTTGCATGTACTCGTATATTATCATTACATCAGAATCATTGTGAAGAGATCCTAATAGTCTTACAATGTTCCTGTCTTAATTTCGCTAGGAGGTTAACTTCACCCACACGATCTTCACTGCCTCCCATTTGATATCAGTTGCAGATCTCCAGAGTTTCTTGACTGCAACAGTTGGTACTTAACCGTTGAATCTCAGCCTTGAAAACCGTCCTGGTAGCCCCCATACCAATCACATTCGATTCCTTAATGCAAGCTAGGATATCCTTGGTATTGAAACCGCGCCTCTGGAATGCCATCAATCTCCAAGGCCACTCTCCATTGCCCATTTCAATTTTTTCCTCGAAAAGGTTCCCCATCATACAATCTATGATATGAAGTTTGTGCTCCAAAAGCTGCTACAACAAGAGCTAGAAGCGTCGAAGTTCCAATCACCCATTATAAGAGGACGGAGGAAGCACTCCCCCACAAAGACCAGCATTGCCCACAAGATCCATTGCCCACAAGATCGTTTGGGTTTATAGTTCTGAGCATGCCATTTGTAGGGACAGACCCCTCTAGCTTGTTATAAGAAACATTGAGCATTTCTAAGGCTGGTGAATTCCCAATATTTTCTGGTATCCCTCCAGACAGAGAGTTACTAGATAGATCCAAAACAGCTAATGTGGGTGTTAGGTTCTGTGACAAAATTTTTATGTGATTTAGAAGTTTGTTGCATGAAGGAAGCTTGTTTAATCTTGGTTTAGAAGTCTTGGTTGATTGGATTCCATATGATTTGGGAATTGGTTAATTGGAGGAAGTCTAAGGTACTTGGGTTTGTACTTTGTAGAGTCCTAAGTTGTGGAGATCAAATTTCAATAATAATTAGGAGTTTGACTTGAAAAGTGACTCTTGGATGCCAAAAAGCATGTTTTGGAATGTTAATCCAAGACCTAGC